TGTGTGTGTGTGTGTGTGTGTGTGTGTGTGTGTGTGTGTGTGTCCAAATACATCCAGTCTGATCCACGGCCAAACACATTTTTAGTGTTAAAAATTTAAATGTAATTTCAACGGTTAACCTGAAACTCTTCACTGCTACATCATACAAGGGCACCACAACCTCCATGACATTTTAAATAAATGGATTACTGACATCTAGAGGACATTTATTGCAACAACACCTACTTAGAATATAAGATAAGGATTTCTCCGGTTTTCTAATTATGTGTCTCTTTAAAAACATAGAGACATGAAACTATAAACACTTGCATATGCCCCACATCTTTCCTAAATGTAAAGACTCCTTGGTCATTTATATTTGGAACAGCCATGTTATCTAATTCATAAAATGTACGTGGCAAACACTATTGTTGCTTCAAGACTTGCAACGTGAAAAGGAAACAGCAACAAATTGCAAATCCAGCAGTAATTCTTAACACTACTGTAAAAATTATACTGAATGTCGATTAATCGGTTAACAGAAAGTTGTTGCACATGCCAAACATTTCCAGCTTCTACAATATTAATGTTGAAGATGTTCCCCCATGTTCTATAATGTTATAGAGCAGATAAATCAAGTAGCTACATAGCCAGCAGATAATGTTAGCTAACAAAGCAAATAACCTCTGGTTAGAGAGCCTTATACTAAAAGCAGGCTTAATAATAATATTTTAACAGTGAGAGTAAATCCAGAAATTGAGATTATATCTAAAATAAAAATGTATTTGCATTTAACTGTGGGGAATAAGTATTTGATCCCCTTGCAAGTGGGTAAACTTACAAAATCGGCAAGGGATCACATACTTATTTCCTCCACTGTATATATATATATATATATATATATATATATATATATATATATATATATATATATATATCAGTCAAAAGTTTGGACACTCCTTCTCATTCGAAGGTTTTTATTTATTTTAATTATTTCTACATTGTAGATTAATACTGAAGACATCAAAACTATAAAGAACACATATGGAATTATGTAGTAAACAAAAAAGTGATGAACAATCCAGAATATGATTTATATTGTAGATTCTTCAGAATAGCCCCCTTTTGCCTTGATGACAGCTTTGCACACTCTTGGCTTCTCTCAGTCAGCTTCATGAGGTCGTCACCTGGAATGGTTTTCCAACCGTCTTGAAGGACTTCCCAGAGGTGCTGAGCACTTGTTGGCTGCTTTTCCTTCACTCTGCGGCCCAACTGATCCCAGACCATCTCAATTGGGTTGAGGTTGGGTGATTGTGGAGGCCAGGTCATCTGACGCAGCACTCCATCACTTTCATTCTTAGTCAAATAGCCCTCACATAGCCTGGAGGTGTGTTTGGGGTCATTGTGTGTTGAAAAACAAATGAGGGTCCCAGTAATCCCAAACCAGATGGGATGGCATGGCGCTGCAGAATGCTGTGGTAGCCATGCTGGTTAAGTGTGCCTTGAATTCTGAATAAATCACCAACAGTGACACCAGCAAAGCCCCCCCCCCCCACCATCACACTTCCTCCTCCATGCTTCACGGTGGGAACCACACATGCAGAAACCATCCGCTCACCTTCTCTGCGTCTCACAAAGACACCGCGGTTGGAACCAAAAATCTCAAATGTGGACTCATCAGACCAAAGTACAGATTTCCACTGTCTAATGTCCAATCCTTGTGTTTCTTGGCCCGAACAATTCTCTTCTTCTTGTTGTTCATCCTCAGTAGGTGGATCTTTGCAGCAGTTGGACCATGAAGGCCAGATTCACACAGTCTCCTCTGAACAGTGGATGTTGAGATTTGTCTGCTCCTTGAGCTCTGTGATCATTTATGTGGGCTCTAATCTGAGGTGCTTTAATTTGTGGTTTCTGAGGCTGGTAACTCTGATGTGTTTATCCTCTGCAGCAGAGGTAACCCTAACTCTAGGGGGTCCTCATGAGAGCCAGTTTCATCAGAGCATTCGATGGTTTTCTTGACTGCACTTGAGGATAAATTCAAAGTTCTTGACATTTTCCGGATCGACTGGCCTTCATTTATTAAAGTAATGATGGACGGTCGTTTCTCTTTACTGAGTTGAATCGTTCAGGCAGTAGGCAATGGTTCATGACGAGCCACTGATATCGATTACTGGACAATATGTTATTCTGAGGCAACACAAAATAATGAGGTACCATTCCCATGTAATAAGAAGAAAGCTAAACATGAATCTGGTTGGAGAAAAACAAAGAAAGAAAGACATTTGCTCTCTGACTCTTAATTACTAATTATTTGTTGTTTTACTAAGATTTAAAAGCCATGCACATTTTTTCAAACGGCCGATCACACAATTGTCACTTTTAAAAGTGAATACAGAAGGCATTGTCTTGTCAAATTGTAGACTTGACCAAATAAGCTTCTAAAAATATAGCTGTCGACCAAAGCACACTTTTCTATTAGCAATATGTTGCTTACTTAGATCCCATTGTGATAGAAAGAGCAAATGGTTCCCTTTTAAATTGAATACATGTGAAAATGTAACCTTGAATGTATTCATAGTTTTAATTTGGTATGCTAATTTGCTATGTTTTGTACCTGGGAATGTGTAACCATCATTGTCTGATTGAAGGAAACGATGTGTCCTAATTCTATAAAAAGGAAAGAACACACCTTTGCTCATGAAGCCATCTGAGGTGGGTTTCATGAAGTTTTTGATATCATTTATTGTAAACTGAATCCTCATTTCAAAGAAACCACATGATGAATGAACTGTCTAAAGCTCAAGGCTCAGGGTCTATTGAAGGAGAAAACACTGAGGCTGGAAAACATTATCACTCTTCAGTGTACCTTCATCAGCATTCTTTAACGGGTACTGTAATGATTTATCAGACTAGAAGCTTGATAACAGTATTATAAAAAACAGAGTGGTGAAACCCTGATAAACCATCTTTTATATGCAACGATCTGTCTGCTCTATCAGCGCTGGTTTCCAAGTACGGGGTCAAAAAGGATTTGCAATACAACATTCAGAAGAGTCTTGTCATGATATAGAGGCAAAGGGGATAAGGACCTCAACTTTCCAGATCTTTATCCATCATGGTAAGAGCTATTTGTTTGTAATAAAACAATAATCTGGTCATCTTAATTATGTGTGATGACGGATCAAATACAGTAACTGCTGTATAGTATATGCTCCTACTAACATAATGGCAAATTACTTATTTTATTAATTAACTATTAATTTGTCAAAACAAGCTAATGCAAATATATATTTGTAGGCTATAGCACAGATTTGTGGAACTGTAGACAGAATCTTCATTTCCAAGAAACCACATGATCAATATGCTGTCTAAAGCTCTATTGAAGAGAAAAACATCAGTAATCAATATCATCAATATCAGCACTGAGTGTACTTTCATTAGCCCTCTTCAACGTGTACACACATGATTCATCTAACCAACTATGAGGCTGATGAACATTAAAATGATAGAAAGCAGAGTTATCATAAACCGTGTTTTCTATGCAGACGATCTGGATACTCATTCAGTGCTGGTTCCCAAGTATAGGGTCGAATATGATTTGCAAAATTATGTTTAAAAGAGTTTCATCATGATATGTAAACAAGACGATAAGGACCTTAACTTTCCAGATCTGCATTCATCAGTCAGAATTGCTGGAACGGAATGTCAAATTGAAATTGTAACCTTGAATTGGTACTTAATTTTATCTAAAAAAGTGTAATAAACATTGTGTGATTGTTCTAATGCTGAAAAAAAGAATGAAGCCATCTAAAGGGTTTTAAAGACTGTAATCTTTGTTTTCATAAACCACGTGATCCATCAACTGTCCAAAACATATTTGAAAGTAGCTTTACCTAGCAGCATAAAAGGATCAGTCTGCAGCATTGCAGGATAAACCATTAAAGCTGTAAAACATTATCACTTTTGATTATAGTGTGAACTAGATAATCCTTTACGGGGAAATAAAAGAGAGAGAGTCACTACGCACTTGAGTTGCCAGAGAAGTGCAGAGCTTTCTTCTCAGGACTAAAACTTAACCTATAAAAAACTATTGCATATACAATAGGTAAAAACTCCAGGATAAAAGAAGAGATACCATGGTTGATCTGAAAAGGTACGTGACACATTCTTTTGTCAGTGATTGTATTTTGATGCAACATACAGTAAGTGTTGGAGTGGATGGTGTTACGGAGTTTAATTTGATAACTTTCAGTGAGAAGCTGTATGAATAATGTGGAGGGAGAGCCATGGCTGAAAGAGTATCTACAATGGAGAGCCCTGGTGAAGAGGTAAACGGTTAGATATCAGCTACTGTGAATATGGTATCAGTAGATACATTTCAAATCTAAACATATTTTTCTCATATTATGGATCAGTTTCCTTTGTTCAAGAAAAGAGAAACTTTGTTAATCCCCACAGGGAAATCCAGGTGTCCTAGCACAGTGCTGTTCTGTGCTGTGCGGTTGTTGCCTGAGCAATAGGAAATTAGAAAACACTCCAGCAGCACCACAGTCCAACTGTAAGTATGACTGTCAATGTCTGATCCAATGTAATGACTTCATATTTGCTGTAATGTAAAGATACTGAGATGCACTTTTCTAATCTTATGACAGATCCTCCACCTCCACCTCCACCTCCACCAATAACTATTGTAAATACTAACCAGCAGTCTTTCATTTCACCACCTGATATCCCTCCTGCTGCGCCCACACTGTGAATGGTAGCACAGGTACATCTAAAACAAATCCATAAAAAGCAAACGTGGATAATTCCCTCAAAATGTATACTCCTTACACTGAGGGACACTGTTGATGTATGTAATGAATATTAGTTTTAGACAAATTAAGTCCATGTTGTTATTTTATGTAGCTTTCTCTGTCACCACACTATTTTACTGCAGTTAAGCAGCACTTTAGAATGCTGACAAACTTTGACAGAATATGAAGTTTCAGTTTCAGTGAAACCTTTATATGTTCCCATAGAGCCCAGCCCTCCTGTGCAGATTACAGTCGACCAGGTCAGCAGCGAGTCACTGTCTCTGCATTGGGACCCCCCTGCTGGTGAAGTGGAGAGTTACATTGTGACTTGTTGCAGTGAGGGAGACATTATGAAAGAGACAACTGACACAAACAATATGACATTCAGCAACCTGAAGCCAGGGGAGTGTTACTCTCTACAGGTTTCTACAAAACTTCGGAATGGAAGAATAAGCAAACCAACTGTAACATCTGCCAACACAAGTAAGTCAAATAAAATCATTATTGCATGGTTGATAAAGACAATGTCAAAGATGTTGACCCAAAGATGAAGATTGGAATTGAGCAGATGGCTTTAAAGGTGGGGTAGGTAAGTTTGAGAAACCGGCTCGAGATACACTTTTTGTTATATTCCATGGAATGCTCTTAACATCCCGATAGCAATGAATATCTTAAGTGCTTTGACAAAAAATCCATCAAATAATTTCATCTGTGGAAGCCGTAGTACTGTAAAAAGCACGACCAATCATTTTAGCCGGCCCGGCTAAAATAACTGGATGGCCTACCTGCCTGTCAGCCTTCCATCTGTGCACAAACTTATCTCGTGCCCTCATTGGTCATGTGCACGTTCGTGTGTGTTGGAGGAGGGGCTCTGTAAGGAAGTGGCAGATTTTCTCCGGTTGTGTATTTTCAAATTCTAGCGATCTCGAGCCGGTTTCTCAAACTTACCTTTAAGTGAACATGCTTCTGGGTTGATAAATACTTTTCAGAGTTTGAGTGTGCCAAGAAAAAAGCAGATTACATTGTGGTGGGCATTTTAATTCCGTTAAGAGAAACTAATAAATGATTAATAAACAATTGTGTCTTTTGTTATATTTAATAAAGTAATAAAGAAAGTCAGATACAATTGAATGTGTGTGTGTGTGTGTGTGTGTGTATGTGTGTGTGTGTGTGTGTGTGTGTGTGTGTGTGTGTGTGCGTGTGTGCGTGTGTGTGTGTGTGTGTGTGTGTGTGTGTGTGTGTGTGTTTACCGTGGGCCACATGAAGTCACTTTGGTTTGCTTGGCTGACTGCAGTTTGCTGAGGCTAGGTGTGTCCACATACATCCAGTCTGATCCACGGCTAATCACAGGTTCAGACTCTGAAAGTGAGAGACATTCAGATTAACTTAAAGTTGAATTTAAACTGTTAACAAGAAACTAGAAGTAAAGAATGTTTTGAAGGATGTGTGTGCATGTTTTGCTTTCTAGTGTTTTTGTGTTGATTTGTCCCATAACTGTATATTTTGCTAATTAAAAACACATGATTACATTTGGATAAAGAAAGTATAGATGGAAACACGACAAGGGGAAGTCGGTCCATGTCATTCATTATCTTCATCTTCAGGTCAGAGTTGGCAATAATGAATAAATGACTGACCTGTATTCAACCCTGAGCATTGTTTTAACAGTGTTAAAGATACATTCAGCCAGTTATATCATTGTTCAAGAAATCAATCACATGGTTTTACTCATAGATATATATATAAACACTAGATGACTCACCCGCGCTGCTGGCCAATGGAGACCGACGTTGCCACATGGCCGCCATCTTGGTACAGGCAGTGCTCTCATTCATAACATTATGGTTTACTATTTAAATAACCATAGCTTGCTCAATTTTCAACCAATTTTCAAACGGTTTGGTTTTTTATAAACATCAAAGATGTAGTTATGATACTGCATACTTATAATCATGGACTTTCATATGAAAATAACATTAAGCAGATAAAGCAATAGCTATACACACACACAAGGTATTTATATTAAATATTTGCCGGTGTATATATTTCCATTTATTTTATTATATTGTTAATATTCAAAATAAATTATAAAATTAAAATATATTTATATTTTATATATAAAAATCGGTCTCATGTTACCACTCTGTAAGCCAAGAGTTGTTAATTTAGCAATGCCTTAGCTTGAAGAACAGGGACACAACTAATGACAATAGCATATGGTGGTATATTATTTAGATATTCACACCTTTATCAGAAGAACCAAACCAACATAAAATGAGCCCACAGACAGGCCAGTTCTGTCTCATTTATCACAATTATTTTTGACATGAGATCTTCATATCGTCCTAGTTTTGTATTTAGTTTCTAGATTTGTAAACAAATCCAGAACCTTTGAAATACGTTACCACTTCACAGCATGGTGCGCTGAGTTCTTGTAGTCGAAAAAAGCCCAAGAATAATATAAACTGTACCCGGTGTCCTTTTGTGTCCTTCTGTAGTCCATTTACTGTTGTTTGTCTTGTCTTACCCCGGCTGATATCTCACTAAATCCAGTTTTAATTGTTCCCTATATTGCCCCTATGCCCTGTAAGGTGTCCTTGGGTGTTATGAAAGGCGGCCCCCCAAAATAAATGTATTATTAAGAATTACAACTTGGTGTGGTTTCTATTCTCCTAAAAAAATGTTACGTTCTCCAACAGAAAACACAACTCAGCGTACTTTTAAGAAATTGATCTTAATAGGCTTGTCCCCTTATAAGGCAGAAATATGTTTTGAGGCTCTGGACAAAAATGGCTATTTTGATTGTAAAGGTTGCCAACCCCTGGGTGTAGTTTCAATGTTTGCACATGTTTATTCAAGTGTATGAGTGACATAGAGCAAGTGAGATGGCCAGTGGTTCTCAAACTTTTTACACAGAGTACCACCTCAAATGATATTGGGCTCTCCTAGTAACACCATCATAGACCTTCCTGGGTACCACCGAGATAAAGGATTTAATATGACAAGCCATATGATGCTCTCATTTGTTAGTGACATTCCACATGCAAATAAGATAAGATAAGATAAGATGGTACTTTATTGATCCCAATTTGGGAAAACATTTTTAGTTACAGCAGCATAAGGGACAAGGCATTTTACAATAAATTAGAAATAAGCAAGAAAAATAAAGAAAATAAAGAAAGAGGAAAATAATATACATGTTGAGTTTGGCAGGATATTATATATATCTAATATACATATACATAAATATAAGGCATATGGAATATTAATGTTAAAGGTAGGGTAGGTAATTTTGGAGAAACCAGCTCGATATCGCTAGAATTAGAAAATACACAGCCGGAAAAAATCTGCTACTTCCTTACAGAGCCCCTCCTCCAACACACACGAACGCGCACATGACCAATGAGGGCACGAGATAAGTTTGTGCACAGATGGAAGGCTGACAGGCAGGTAGGCCATCCAGTTATTTTAGCCGGGCCGGCTAAAATGATTGGTCGTGCTTTTTACAGTATTACGGCTTCCACAGATGACATTTTTTTATGGATTTGTTGTCAAAGCACTTCAGATATTCATTGCTATCGGGATGTTAAGAGCATTCCATGGAATATAACAAAAAGTGTATCTCGAGCCGGTTTCTCAAACTTATCAACCCCACCTTTAAATATTGAACAGATTATATATGTGTAAAATGTACAACGTGGTTATATTCAAGATAAACTATGGAGCAGAGAGTTATCTTCCAGCCAGAGGTGATTTATTGTACAGTGTTATTGCAGTGGGCAGGAATGTCTTCCAGTATCTGTCCTTGAGACAGTGGAGCTGCAGCAGTCTGTTGGAGAAGCAGCTCCACTGACTGTCCAGCTGCAGGTGGAGAGGATGGGTGGGGTTATCCATGATGGACAACAGCCTGTTCAGTGTCCTCCTCTCCACCACAGCTTCAAAGGGGTCCAGCTTGATGCTGATGACTGACCCAGCTTTCCTGATCAGTTTATTGATCCTGCTGGTGTCACCGGCTCTGATGCTGCCCCCCCAGCAGACCGCAGCAAAGAAGAGTGCACTAGCCACCACAGACTGATAGAAGATCTCCAGCATCTTACTGCATACGTTGAAGGATCTCAGCTTCCTCAGAAAATAGAGTCTGCTCATCCCCTTCTTGTGCACAGCGTCAGTGTTGATCCTCCAGTTCAGCCCATTGTCTAAGTGCACTCCCAGGTATTTGTAGTCCTCCACAACAGCCACATCCTCTCCCAGAATGCACAGGGGTAGAGGAGGAGACGTCCTCACCCTCCTGAAATCAATGACCATCTCTCTGGTCTTGGCCACATTCAGAATACTCACAACATTAGGCTGAGGTTCATCTTCCGCTCTTCTTGAAGTGGTTGTGCTTCTTGTTGCTTCCGGCTAAAATAAACATAATTAAAGACATTTTGAGTGTTTAAAATGTGCTGTAATACACAACACATTATTTATTCCTAAACTTGCAGAAAGAAAAACTAAAGTGTGACATTTAATCACATATTTATATATCAATCTTATACACCTTGAATTCTTGTTGGCCAATGATACACATACCCTTTGAAGATGAGCTGGGAAGTTGAATACTGTTGGCACAACACCATCTTTAAGCCGGACAGTCTGCCCCGTCCTGTCAAAGTCCTCACAACTGAAGTGCTCACTGCAGAGCAGTGTCCTGCCTTCTTAGGGCAACTTCCCACTGCCTCCTCCTCTCTCCGGTTTTGGGAAACCTTAAAAACATGAGAAAGGTAGCCAGATATATAAATTATTGTCAACATTTTCCTCCCTTCTTTCCTTTAACATTAAGGGTAAGGACAAAAATACACACCGAAATTATCATATTTTTGGGGTAATTGTATGTATGTATGTATACTTTAAGAATAAGACAACTACACTAAGAGTTATAAAAAAGGTGTCCAAAAGAAACATTAAATAATTGTGTAAAGAAATGGTAGCAACATATTCTAAAGAGGCTGGGTCAACAACAATCTTGCAATACTATTATCTCACATAGCCCCACTGATCCTGTGTAGCAGAACTTGTAATGTACATACATCCACTACGTAATTAACGATTATCCTAATTATAGTCATAATATTGTCATATCTTACACGTGAAAGGTGATTCCACGGGTTCTTGGTCAACTTTGTAATACTAGGTCTCACTCACAGCCTCTTGTTATTAGCCAGCTAATAAATACAACCACACATACACAAAGAAAAGCTGCTATTTCAACATGTCCAAGCATCCTGTATCATAGCCATGCTAATAATGTTTATAATAAACCAAACCGTTTGTAAATCAGTCAAGATTTCAGCGAGTTAAGAGTATTTTTGTGCAGATCACTCACCTTACAACAGCTACCATAGCGCGTACCAGAGTAGCTGTTGACTGTAGCAAGATGGCGGCCAGTGAGCTACGCTGGAAAATCTCCCATGAGCCATCTAGTGTTTATATATATCTATGGT